AGTATTGTTTTATTAAGGTGGCTCGTACCAGTTTCCTCGCGCGGGGAACAGGTCACTCTTGCGTGACGCGCGCGAGAGAAACGTGCGAAAGAAGCGCGAGATCAAAAGATGAAAATTCAAAACAAAGATGGCGGCGCGTGGAATTTTTTCTACTTTTGTGAGAAGTTTACCTAAGAGCTTGTATTTGATGTGTTGAGCGGCCACTGTGAATGCAGGAGATAGAAACTAAGATAACGAAGACGATTTTCGGAGAAGTAAAGGTTGCTTCACTTCACATTTAAAAGAAATATTCAACCGATATGAAATCTTGCGACGGCGAAAAAAGAAGAACTCAAGTGAAGGATAATCTACCTGAAGTGGAAGAAGACTTTGAAACTTCAAGGAAAATAATATGATATAGCCAGAAGTCATGTGTAGGATTTTTAAGATGAGCTCGGGAGGCTGTCTTTGACGGCTGTTTAATGATTTTCTTAGCAGTAAACGTCTGTAAACATCAGATCGTAGGTGCTCGCGCGAGCACACGCAATTGTCAGCGGTAGCTAAAACAGATCATGAGCAAATGTCGATCTTATAGAATCCAGATTTTTAAATGCGCGAGAACGCGCGTGGAAATTGCTAAACTCACGAAAGCTATTGCATGAAAACAAGTCCGGTGACCCCTTCTTTTTATTGTTCCAATATGATAATAACGTCGAAAGGAATCATCACAAAAAAAAAACTAGAAAATTCTACGGAAGGAAATTTGCGATGTCTGAAAATCGCCGTTTTTCTAGATTTTCTGAGATTCCGCTACGTAGAGTTTTTTAAAAGTCTTTGTGCATTTTCCTTTTCAAGTGCCAAAATTAATCACTGAAAAAAATCATGGGGTCACCCGGTTAGTTTTCGAATTATTTAAGCCACAAGCTAAAAATTGCGTCTGAATAAGCCTATGAAAGCGTTGCCATGGAAACTGCTAGTGACGAAATGACACCTATTTTTGGATAACCAATGATTATATAATTCAAACCCGTTTAAGTGTTCAACTGGCCTTTGTCAGTCTTTCTGTTGTATTTTTTCAAAGTTACAAACCATCAAAAATATGAAAACCGGTACGAGCCACCTTAACACTCCACCTGTTCTAAGTCTCCCATGGTGTTATCATCTCTAGCCGTCCGAGAGGGACATTAATTAGGCTTAGCCAATAACGGCTCTATTTACCGTATTTATTTGATTAAGCGCCCAACCTCGAAAAGCGCCTACGCTGTAGGTAGGAAAAGTTAAAAGGCGCTCAGCTCTAATAAGTATGCAACCCCACAAAAAAACAAAAAAACAAAACAAAAAAAAAGAACAAAAAGGAGTATTTTTAATTTTTAAATAAATCTTAATTTACCGTCCATGGAACTCTCCATGTTTTATTGTTGCAAAATCAATTCACTACTCGCTGAAAATGGCGAAGACTGACTATGCGCCCAGCCTAGAATAAGCGCCCACACTCAAGGTCTAAAAATTGAACAGACACCCAGGGCACTTATAATCGAATTGACACGATAACTAATGAGAAGTCGAAAGCCCAGTTCAGTTGGTAATGAATACAACAAAGAACCCTCCTTCTTCTTTGCATATCTGTCAAAATATAGTGGTAAGATAATAAAATATCATCGTTTATTGGATCGAAAGCTTTGAAGCTTTCCTTTTCATGTAGAGACAGTTTTTGCAAAGTAAATAGATGAAGATGTTGTAGTACATTGAAGTAGCTACGCTGTAGAATAAATCATGTCTTTTAGATATAGAAATAAGCGAATTTTATTGCATCGATATCAAAGAAAATGAAAAAAAATGATAGCTGTAATGTGAAGCTAAATGTTAGATTCACCATATCGCGCAGATGCATATGTTTATAGCGGGGTATTTTTAATTCTCTTTCTATGGGGGCTCAAGAACGTGTTAATATTCTCATAAACAGAGAAAAAAAATACTGGAATCGTTAATAAGGCTGATACTGCTTTCATTGTTCTCTAAAAAAGATGAATTTAACTTAAAAAGAATAGGCTGATAATTTTGAAAATTTTTTTAATTTTCTTCATACACATAAAAGGCTCTCAGTCGTCATTAAATCTCTAGAGATATCCAAGTCTACAGCTTTCATGTAGCGATCGGAGTTTGACGTGTCTGATATAGCTTAATTTACTTTTATTATTTCTCTTTTATTTATTGGGAAAAAATCTGTTGATCTAAATTTTATCCCTAGTTTTGTTTATTGGTTAAAAAATGATAAGGAAGGTCTCGGAATACAAGCAACTCTATGTGAGTTATACTAAATAATAATTTCATTAAATTACTGTTGGTATTATGACTGTGAATGGGGCCTTTCAGCTATAGAATTTACATAGAATTTACCATTTACATGAATTTTTAACTAAGGGTTAAAGCAGATGGTATATGTTATTCAAATTGCTTCAGTAGTGGAACGTCGGGACAGACAGTTATACCCAAAAATAAGCAGTCACGGTTAATTTTCATGAAACGAACGAAGTTTCACATTTCTCCCGAAGATTTCCAGAAGAGGCCGAAAATATCTGATCCCATCAGCGCTGCATGTTACTTTGGATTCTTTAACGTCCGGGGTAAACGTTCCTAACGGATCAAGTTCTGTTTTTTGGATTTTCATCAATTTGTTATCATGCATATTGCCAGAAAAAGCGAAGATTAAATTAGTTTTCTTTCTTTTAAATTAATTTTTTGAAACTATTGCAGATCCTCAGATGCAATATCTAATCGGATGAAGAATGGTCTTAGCCAAAGTGAATTTAACTCTTGCATCAATGTTGGTAAGTCACTTTTAGTGTGGTATGAAACATAAATGGTTTGAAACAGTTTCTCTTTTATCATTGAGGCAGCTGACAGCAGCTGTTTCAAAGAAAGTTTGATTATGCCAGGAAAAGGTACTATTTTTGTCGCTTCCTGTGTCTAGTTAATTTTCTCGGCATATTGCATAAAAGCTGATAGTTTCTAAAGAAACTGTTTGGGGCTGCGTCGGTGTGGGTAACGAAATAATTTGAATATATCAACAAAGTTGAAATGGTAAATTGGCCACCGCCGGTTATAAAAGCTGACGTTTCGAGCGTTAGCCCTTCGTCGGAGCGAATAGGGGAATTGTGGGTTGTGTGTGCTTTTAAAGGCAGAAAAAGGAGCTACGTGATTGGTGGGAACATGGCAACGAGAAAAACACGAATAAATTAGTGGAATGAAAAGCGTTCGTTGATACCTGTGGGATTTAGACTGCCGGTTTGAAAGATGAGCTTTTGTTCAAGAGTTTTCCGGCTTTCCGTGCTACCTAAGTGTAAGGAAAGACCGCAGATTGCCATGTGTTGCTTAGAATGGTTAGGTAAATTAAAATGTCTAGCGACTGGTTTCGATGTGTCCTTGTCATTCCTCTCCACGTCGCGAAGGTGTTCTCGGAATCGGTCACCTAGTCTTCTGCCTGTTTCGCCGATGTAAATCTTTTTGCAATAAGTGCAAGTTATGCAATAGATTACATTGGCGGAGGTGCACGTGAAGTGATCGGTGATCTTAATGGATCGTTTGGGTCCCGATATTTTCTCAGTGTTGTGAATGAAAGGACACGTTTTGCATCGTGCACGAGCGCATTTAAAAGTGCCTGGTTGGTCATTAGTCTGAAAAGAACTTCTGACCAAAAAATTGCCTATGTTTTTGTCGCGTTTGAATGAAATGAGCGGAGGCTGCGAAAAGATAGTGCTTGTCTCTGGATCGTTTTGAAGTAATTTAAAGTTTTTAAGAATGATGGATTTAACTGAGTGGTTGTGAGGGTGAAACGTGAGAGTGAATGGAATGCGGTCGGAATCTTCCTTATGCGACGTTTGTAGTGCTGAATGTCGATCAATAAGTTGAGCGCGGTGGTAACCCGCTTGAACGACGGAAACAGGGTAACCACGTTTATCGAAGAACTGGCACATTGACTCTGATTTGTGGTG